CAGCATCTAGGGAGATCAGAGCAGAGAGGCTCCCTGTTTGAGGGGTACCCCTTGGGCTGCAGAAGCCAGGCCAGATGACACCTGGCCCCTCTGTCCAGGAGCCAGGGAGAGAAACTCCGGAGCTCAAACAGAGCAAACCTCGGGGGCTGGGTTATGGCGGTGTTGGCCCCAGGATGCTTTGCTGGGCAGGGAGACCATGCACAGGGGTGACCACGGGGTTAGGGCACATGAGGTATGCCATCTCACCTGGTCAGGTTCACCCTCATTGTCAGAAAAATGCTAGTCCACCCAGGCTGCATTCCCGCCAGCTCCATGGGCTGACAGGACGGTGGCCAGGCTCCCCAGGCAGGTAGCCTGGGTTCAAGGTCTTGCTCCCCACACTTCTCGACTGTGTAGCCTGGGTGGCCCTGTAACTGCCACCACCTCCATTTCCCCATTGGTCTAATGGGGACAATAATTCCGCCTCCATGGGGTACTCTGAGATTTAAATGAAATAATATTGTGCAGGGGACAGAGGGAAAGAGCAAGGAGGCAGACTCGTCCCTTCCCCTTCTGCTCCTCCCTCCCTGTCAGGAGGCTCACACCAGTGTTCATGTGTACACCCACACCCATGCACACACTTACACTCCTACTCATCTTCCAAGAATGAGAACACTTCCTGTGTCCCCCTTAAATTCATGTATGAAATCCTAATGCCAGGGTGTTGGCATTAGGAGGGGATTAGCTCATAATGGAGGAGTGCTCATGGAAGGGATCAGTGCCTTATAAAAGAGACCCCAGAGGGGCTAGGTTGTGGCTCAGCTGCAGAGCACTTGCCTTGCATGCATGAGACATTGGGATGGATCCTCAGCACCACATAAGAATAAATAAATAAAATGAAGATATTGTGTCCATCCACAACTAAAAAAAAAAAAAAAAATTAAAGAGAGAGAGAGCACCCAGATGACTTGTTTGCTCATCCACCATGGGAGGAGAGGTGGCTATGGTAAAGATAGCCACCTATGAAGCCAGAGGCAGGTCCTCACCAGACACTGGATCTGTAGGTGGCTTGATCTAGGACTTCCAGACTCCAGACTGTGAGGAATGAATTTCTGTTGCTTGTAAGCCACTTGGTCTAGGGAGTTCTGTTACAGCAGCTCACATGGACTAAGACACATACTCTCCTTGCAAAGGGACTGAGGAGGCTCCACCAGCCCTGGCTCAGGAGGGGTGCAGCTGAGGTGCTGCAAAACCTTTGGAGACATAAACCGGGAGTTGGGTTAGGGTGTGGTTAAAAGAGTAAGTCTGAGCCAGGCTTGGTGGTGCAGGTCTGTAATTTCAGCTACTGGGGGTGCTGAGGCAAGAGGATTGCAAGTTTGAGGCCAGCCTCAGTAACATAGCAAGTCCTTGTCTCAAAATAAAAATAAAAAAGGCTGGGGATGTAACTCAATGGTAGAGCATCCCTAGGTTCAATTCTCAGTACCAAAAAAGTCATGATGTGTAAAATCACATCATAGTCATAACTACCATGTAAGACTATAATAAAAACTGAATGACATCAGTCACTCATTCGACAGATTCTTCCTGATGATCTGCTCTGGACCAGGACTACCCAGGGCACTGGGCATGTAGCAGTGAGTAGGGGAGGTCCAAGTTCCTACTCACCTGGAGCATGCCTTCTAGTGGGAGGGACAAATAACAAACAAACACAGATAGTGTCAGTCTGCTCAGGCTGCTATAACAAAATATCTTACACCAGGTAATTGATGAACAACAGAAATTCACTGCTTATCACTGGAAGATGGAAAGCCAATATGAAGGTAGGTACCAGCAAATTTGGTGTCTAGTGCAGGCCTATACCTCATAGGTAGGACATTCCAGTTGTGTCCTCACATGGTGGAAAGAGCAAGGAGGTTCACTTGAACCTCTTTCATGAGGGCACTAATCCCATTTGTGAGGGTACAGCCCTTGTGACTTACCCCCTAGTGGCCTTTCACCCTAATACCGTTGCATTGAGCATTAGGTTCCAACACTGAATTTGGCGGGGCTCCCACATTCAGACCACAGCAGTCAGAGAACAGGTCACAAGTGAGACAGTTGCTTCTATAAAGAAAGAGGAGGCTGGGGAGGGGCGAGTATGTGCTGGGGAGTTCAAGCAGGGAGGCCAGGGCCAGCTGCACCAAGAAGCTAATAGGTAAAGACTGGAAGGCAGAGTGGAGCAGGCTGCGGGGCTCTCCTGGGGGCTCAGCGTGCCAGGCCAGGTCTTGCTGCCCACACTTCGCAACTGCGTAACCTGGGGTTGGCCACAGGTGTGCTCAGAGGGCAGGTGCAGGCAGACTGGACTCTGAATGACAGAGGGATTTGGAGCAGGAGAGGGACACGATCTGATCACAGGCAGCCAGGCAGAAGCAGGGGGGATCAGGCAGGGAAGATGGCGAGACTCGGGTCCAGCACGGATGTGTTCTGAAGAGAGTGCCCCCAGGGTTGGCTGACACATTGGGTGGCGGATGTGATGCACAGAAACCAGTCTACAAGAATGCTGGGGCTTGAGGTCTGAGCCAGGGGGTCCCGACCAGGCTCAGCACTGCTCTGCACACTGCAGTGATATGTGGCAGCCACTGTTCACAGTGAGAGGAGGGGACATGGGACTCCACAGCAACCTTCCTGGGGCCGCCACATGAAGAGGCAGGACCACCATGGCTCTGTGCCAAGCCCATCAGAGGCGTCTGTGTAGAGCATCCTTTCTGCGCTGAGCCAATGATCTTGAAGATCAACCGCTGGCTGCCACCCAGGGGCCTGGCTCTCCAAACAGAAGCCAGAAAAGGGATCAAAGCCCAGGAGCTGCTGCTCACCTCCCCCACCAAGCCTGTGCTGTCGCAGACTTTGTCTTCCCTGTAAGATGGAAAAGGAAGAAGACATCCCCCGACTCAGCCCCATGAAATCCCGAGGCTCCCTGAGAGTAGCACACTTGAAAGAGACCGAGGTTATCTGCAAAATTCCAATTAAATCCACAGGCTTTGATAATTTGATAAGCCACTCTGCAGCCGCCCTGGAGTCAAAATATGCTGTTACCAGATCCGTGTTTACATTTCAGGATGGAGCGGGGGCTGCACAGTGGCCCGGGAAGGTGCAAGCGTCTCTGGGAGGGAGGCAGGCGGGCACTTGGCTGATATATGGTCAGCCTGTCTACCCAGGGTCGTGGACAGGCTCGGCTCCTGCACAGCAAGCACTCTTAGGAGCACAGGTCTCTCTGAGCAGGTCCCAGAGGCAGAACGCAGACAGGACTGGGCCAGGGGAGGAGCGGCCTTTCCAACTGTCTGCCTTCAGCTCACCCCACTTCTCGAGCTTCAGGTCTGGGGGGGATTCCTGTTCTTTGGCCCATCTCTTGCCAGACAGATGAGGGACTGGCCCCCATGGCAGATACCATCTCAAGAAAGAGGTGGCTAACCCCTATTGCCAGGATGCCCTGGAGGCTACAGATTTCCAACTTATCCCTGCAAAGCCAAGCTATGCTCTGTGGGGTGCAGCGTGCACCGAGCCACAGTCCATTCTGTCCTCCAGGCTTCTTAGACAACAGTATTGAGCATCTACCTGTGTCAGTAGCACTGGCTGCGTTATCTCAGTGAACCCTGTTACCCAGCCAAAGCGTCATCTCACATTAAGGATGGGAGGACAGGTGCAGAGAGACTGCACAAATGGTCAAAGGTCTCAGAGCCTTAAGTGGCAGGACCTGAACCCAGAGCCTGGCCCAAAAAAGCCATGCCCCACTCTCCTGGTAACACACAACTCAGGGGCTGTGGTGTGGTTTCCCCCTTTCCTTGAGGGCCTTCTATAGATGAGCAAAAGGCCATCCTTCGGCCATATCAGGTCCACAGTGAGATAGGGCCCATTTATTTAGCTGACTGGCAAACACGAGGGGCAGATGCAGGGGTCTGAGGCCAGGTGGGCTTCTTTTGTGGCCCTTTCAGCCATCAACACTCCCTTCCCACCCTCTGCCTCTTTCTCATCTACCCTTTACTTTAAGATTTCAGAGGAACAGGTAAGGAGTGAGGTGATCAATGAGTATCTCCTTAGTCTTGTCCCCGACCCTCTCTCCTACCCAATACCCTTCCCTGGCTACTTTCTTTGCCTTCTTTGGCCCACCAATTTCTGAGTGGAAAGGATTTCTCTCTCTATTGAGAGCCTATGGTGGGGACTGTGGAGGAGGAAGCTGCCCTGAGGAGGGAGGTGGCCATCAGGTTGGACTTTAGTCAGATACGTGGGAACCCAGCATGATGAGGTGCGCCATCTTGACGGCCAGGCCCAGGGTATCATGACTCTAGTGTATTCCGCCATTTCTCTCCAAATGAGGAGACATCTGGTTCCCAGGCCACTGGGCACTTCCAAGTCTCATGCCTGTTACGTACCCAAAAAACGTGTGACTTTAGTAAAACCAGCTGACCTCACTGGGCCACAGTATTCAACTGTGTCAACAGGGCTACTAATGTCAATCATAAAATGCTACAGCTAAAAGCAATCTTGGAAATTCTTCATTATTTTTTTATGAACCGTACACAATCTGTGGCAGCACCCAGACTGCTGAGCTCTTCAGCAGGTGGCTTTTCCTCCTGGGCAGAATGTGTGGCCTGTGCCTGCATGTCAGCTGGGAAAATTGTAACCTTAACAGTTACGAGCAATGACTGCTAACCCTGACCGGCACCTGAGCGGCAGGATCGTCACGTTTTCTGCTATTTTGTCTGCTCCTTATAACAAGTCTGTGAGCTACAAAAGAGTTTTAGGAAACACCTACTCCACAAATGTAGACACACCCTCACTTTCCAGCACAAGGGCAAAGAGAAATTAGGAACAATCTTTGGCAAAAAGGAGTCTGAGCAATAAACATTCCCTTGTTCCTTTGACATGTCATTCCTTAGCCGGGTTGACATTGCTAGCTCCCCCTCAATTGTGTTCCCACACCCTCAGCCTCCCTGGCTTTGGCTCAAACTCCCAAGCACATAGGAAAGGCCTGAGCTTCCACTCACTCTTTTGGGGGGTTGACATCCTCAGGTCGGGCCTCGAAGAAACGAAAGACTTCATCACACTGTGAAATGTGGGGAGGGAGCCGGACCAGTGCCTGTGGAAAGATAGAAAGTAATGGCATCATGAGCTTGGGACAGGAAAACCAGAATGCCAACGTGAGCCAACAGTGATGGGAAGGCTCAAGTACTGTGCCTTGGAAGGCACAGTCACCCGGCCAGTCACCAGCCTCCCAGTCAATCAATGACTTAACTAGCTGACTACTGAAGCTATTATTTATCCATCCATCCATCCATCCATCCATCCATCCATCCATCCATCCATCCATCTCAACTAAAAATCCAACAAACCAGCCAACTAATTAATCAACTAAACAAACACCCCAATACTCCATGAACCAACTGGACAATAAAAAAGATAATCAGTTAACCAATCAACTATCCAGCCAATAATTCAATCAACCATCCAACCAGCTGAGCAATTAAGCAGCCAACCAAGCAAAACACATTGACGCTGAACCCTAGGTCTCAGGGCCCTCAGGGACTGGTCCTTCTGCATGAACCCTGGAGGAATTTTCTCCTGCTCATAGGATAAGCCTGAGCCCTGAACCCAACAATGTGAGGCCTCGTCTTACCAGGCTGACTTCCCATTAGCCCCTCTCCAGCTGCACTAGATAGCCACGTTCTCTGAATACTGTTGGTGCAATTAATTATTTATTGACTGCTACTGAAGACAACAGGGAGCTATGATGGAGTTTGACAGGACCTAAGATGATGGGGGCCTTTCAGGAAGGACTCTGTAGCTGAATTCTAAAGCCTGGGAAAAATTGAACTGCTCAAGGTGGGCAGAGTTCAAGTGTGGGGGCTCCAGGAGCTGGAGGAAGGTTGATGTGGCCTGGGCACACAGAGCGAAGGAGAGAGACCTAGCAGGGCTCCCTGGCCACACTGAGCATGCCTGGGGAACATCGCCCCGCGATGGGGTGAAAGGCTTCCAGCACAGTGGGCCTGGCCTTGGCTGGAGGGATTTGGAGAAGTAGAGAGGAGAGGAGTGGGCACCCCATGGGGAGTGACAGTGAAGGCAAGGGTGTGGCCAGTGTGGGTCAGTCATCCCGGAGGACCAGAGGACCGGGAGGACAAGCCTGCTGCTGGTGTGAGGGGCAGGGCTGGTGGTCTCAGGTGGTACTGTCCTCCCGCAGGTGCTCCACACCTGCAGCAGCCCCGCCAACCGAAAAGCAGGGTGTCGGGGGAGGCCAGGCGTAGCCTTGTTTCCTGGGCCCCTTCCTCCATTCAGTGTGGGGAGAAATACTGGGGCAAGGAAGGGTCGGTCCCTTGGGCCAAAGGGACAGAAGAGATCACTGCCAAATCAGCCCTGAGGGGTGTGTTCAAGGGAACCCAGGGCTGGAGACAGTAAAAGAAAGAGAAAAACCTGGAACTGGAATCCAGGAACATAGGAGTGTGATAAGGAGTCTCCAGGTCCATATGGAAGGACCCCATCACAGGCCTCTGCCTCCCGGGACCCCACACCTCCCTGGAGGGCCTTCAGATGTAATGCCCTTCTCTGGTGGCTCCTGTGCTAAGCACGGTGGGCCTCTCTGTGTGGCCACCTCATGATGCTCCCTGGGAGCAAGATTCCCATCCCTGTGTTATAGACAAGGAAACAGAGGCTCCGAGGGCCACGAGGCCTGTCCGCAGGCTCTCAGGGAGAGTGGAAAGACCACACAGGGTTAAACTCCACGCAGCGGGGATTTTAGTCTGTTCTGTTGATTTTCACCAGGTCCTAGCAGGGTGTCTGCGGCTGAGCAAGCACTCAGTGGACATTGTCTAATGAATGAGTGAATGAACGATGGATAAATGACCAGGGCTTTGGTGTGGGAAGCCAGATGCCCAATAGCAGTGGGACATGATGAGGAGGCAAAAATAAATACATAAATAAAACACGTGTGGCCTTGGGTGGCACGGGCAGAACCCAGGGGAGGGGAAGCCGTGGCTTGACTCTTGGCAGAGCTGCTCTTCTCCAGTCTGTCACCTAAAGCCACCCAGTCTATCAGGAGGCCCTTCTCAGGGCCAAACTCCCAGCCAGGCAAGACGGGGCAAGACGGGGCAAGGCCACTCTGCAACTCCCCAGACTTTCCTTCTAGAGCCCTGGCTTTCCAAGGGTCCCCAGATCCCATCATGCCAAGGAACTCCCATGTGCCACGTTCCACTCATCCGACCGCGGTGAGGGCTTTCGGTATGTGTGGGACACGGGGCGAGTCCTGCTCTCCAGATAGCATGGCTAAAGATGTGTCACCACATCTTGTCCTGGAGATGGATGTGGATTTGGAGATGTCAGGATGGGAACACTGAAGCTGTCGGGAGTGTGAAGTTATAAATGAGTTAAGTGTCAGAGTCAAGTCCCTTGCTCGGAATGTAGGATGCGTGGACCTTGTCCCCAAAGGGGGCATTTAATGCCCAGGCTATTTCCTATTTTCTCCACCAGGAAGGGTAGAAAGAAAAGGAACAGAAAACTTGAGGGAGACAGACAGACAGACATAGAGAGGGAGGGACAAAGAGAACGTGTCAGAGAAGGAAGTCAGGCACATGAGGAGTAAGGGCTCCCGACAGAGGGCAGGAGGCCCCAGGGGGGACCTAAGGGCTGGGACTGGGGAGCAGTGGGGAACCCATTGCCGGCAAACTGGGCTGTGTACAGGGCAGGACCACAGCTCCCAAAGGCAGAGGGAGAGACGCAGGGCAGGAGAGGGCAGGCTTTGGCTGGCCCAGGGTGCCAGCCAGCCCAGTGCTGCCACCCAGCCTCACAGCCCCGCGTGGTCATGAACAGAGGAGCTCTTCATGCCTGCAGAGAGCAGCGTTCGGGGGCAGAGGACGAGCGTGTGGGTTGTGAGGGCCTCAGACAAAGGAGCCTTTGGGTGGACCGACCGTGGCATCTTTCTTTAAGAGGGAGCCCTGCATGGAGCACTTAAGGGCCTGTCCTGATCTCAGGCTGACAAGAGGCCCTTGGGCCACAGCAGCTTCCTTCAGAGCTGCCGTCAAAACCAGTTCTGGCCAAGACCATTTGGCAGGAGAGACTGGTGCTGAGCAGTCTATCAGGGGCTGTGCCAGCAACCACAGCCAAGGCCGGGAAACCTCAAACTCAGACATCCTGAGAAAAGCATGGTGACGGGGCTGGATACATGGGTATTTTCGGGAGTACCACCCCTGGTGTAGGGGTAAGGTTCTGCCCGAGACATTCATGAGGTATACTGTGTGTGGGTTTTGCTGGCAGACCAGGTTTTGGGGCCTGGCTCTACCATCCATGGGCTGTGTGGTGCCAGATGTATTACTTGCCTTCTCTGAGCTCAGCATAATGGATTCAACAAGGAACCTAGCTGTTAAGAGGTTAAGTGAGATGAGGAATAGGAAGAGCTCGGCACAATGCCTGGCACTAAGTAAACACTCAGTAAATGTTAGTTGTTATGACATTATTGTCACCACCATTCGTTGGGTGAAAAGAGTGTTGTGCATGGGAATGGGAGTCAGAGACCTAATTCTTGTTCCAATTCTGCAGCTATGGATCTGCTATGAGGCCCTGGGCAGCTCGCCTCACCTCTCGGGTTGTCATTTCTTGCAGGTTAAATTCGGTAGCTCTGGAATTCCAAAGTACATGTCATGGAACAATTTACTTGATGGGTATAATGAGTTCCATGGGCATATGTGAAATGTGGGGGCCTTGAAGGTCGACCCCGCCCCTATACCCACTGCCATCCTGGCCTTGGAGATCACCATGTTCAGAAACAAAGCAAAGTGTCTGGGAAGTCCTGCAGGAACCTCTTTAGGCCAGTGTCTAGTAACAATGAGGA